CACTCCCATTTCATTGTCTCTGCCAAAGCACAAAGGAGCCCCAATCAGAAGATGACAGATGGGCAATGATAAATTGCCAATTTTTTTTTTTTTTTTTTGCCTGTGCCATCTAACGTGGGCATCCAAGTTTGGTGATTCTTTTCTCAATTCTGGGAGAGTTTAAATATTATTAGCCCCACATCGAAAAACTGAATAATTGGATTCAAGGTGAAACTTCTTCATCAACTCAGGATTGATATAAAATCGGTGTTTGAAAATGTTTATTTGACTGAAGCCGCGGCTAACCTCCACTGGCTCGACTCCTTTTTTTTTTTTTGCCTGTGCCATCTAACGTGGGCATCCAAGTTTGGTGATTCTTTTCTCAATTCTGGGAGAGTTTAAATATTATTAGCCCCACATCGAAAACTGAATAATTGGATTCAAGGTGAAACTTCTTCATCAACTCAGGATTGATATAAAATCGGTGTTTGAAAATGTTTATTTGACTGAAGCCGCGGCTAACCTCCACTGGCTCGACTCCTTGGCTGGACTCGGAGGGCGTTAAGGTTTCGTTACGCACAGCTCGACATCCCGCCCGCTCGCACGTACCCTATTTGCACGGAGAAACGATGCTAATCATGTCACTCCGGAGAGAGCGAATTGGCCGCGCCATCTTGATTTTTCTCCCGGTAACCCTCTCACCGTAGGCAGTACATTTTTGCTTGAGATCAAGCAAATAATAATAAAAAGAAGAAGAAGGGAAAGGGGGGTCGGGTCAGAGACAGAATCCTGAGGGGCCGCGCTCGAGCTAAGTCCCTTAAATTGAACCTTCATTGGGGGGTTCAAAAGGACAAGCTGAGATGTGAAGGAGGAAGGGGGAAACTGTCGTTCCTCTGGTCAAGACAAGCCCCAAGGCTTCCTTCTCAGGGATCTGACTTCTGTCTGAGTAAACATGTCTGGAATGGTGCGCGCCATGGGTCTGGTGTGCGTGTGTGTGTCAAGTGCGCTCCATGTGAAGTGTAGCTCACACACTCTGGAGGTGGAGGCATGATCGGGATAGAGTATCAGAATGTCTCGCTAGACTCCTGTGCTGCACCGTGACTGTGTTTGGTATGCGACTCGGCGTAAGGCACACTTTCAAAACACGGCGCGTCATCTCCAAGGTCCGGTACAGTCTGTTGTTGACGTCGCTTTGTTTTTTTTTTTTTGGAGTGGGTTTTTCCCCATTGGAAAATATGTTGCTGTCATTCATACAACCAATATTGACTGTCCAGGGCATTTCTTGTTTTTAACTGTGAGTCCCATTCACCAAACTGCTGTGGCCTTCATTTGCCCACATGTGAGTGCATTGCAGTAGCTTCAATCGGTCGTAATTCAAATCATCTAAAATAGAGCTATTTTTCGTAGCGTACTCTCGAGATCTGCGATGACGGGCAGAAATTTCTATCCCGAAACAGTCGAATTAATATTTTTCTCTCAAATAACATGAAATTAATCGCACTTTTCAGGGAACCTTCCTCTGTTTATT